AATTAAATTCCAAAAAAAAAAAACAAAATAATTCGGTCACAAAAGGGTTAATGAATATTTAATTGTCAGCCAGCAGTATCATATTTACAAAATACCGCGTCTGCCAAAAAATATTGAATTATTTACGATTAATTGGAGTACATATTTCAGATACATGTTGTTTATTGTCTCGTCTTGTTACTTATACTCCTTTCGATAACGCGAAAGTGGGCACGCATTTTGCATGAACTTTCTCAGCTCGAGAGGCGTTCCTTTATCGTCATATGTGTCTGCGATATGCAGACAGATTGATAGTTGTATCCAGTGTAATTACTTCTGTTCAATAGATGTTCCCTTATCAGTGTTTCAGTAAGATCTCTTCTTAACCGATCAAGCGGAAGGATTTCTCGAGTAATTTGTAGGAAATTCGCGTAACATTGCTTTACAATTCAATTTCGTATATTTCGTTGTATCAAATTCATATAAAATTCGTTTTATATTTAATTCGTTGCGAACTAAAATACGAAACGTGTGCAAATAAACGAATAATAAATGTATCTTATTGGCCGCTCAATGACAATCAGATTATCGATGAAAGATATTCAATCAGCAATGAAAAAGTAATAAAAATTACAAAATTGTAGATATTATTTTTTATTGAATCACATTATCATTTTCATGCATTCTTTTTTTTTTTAATACATCATGCATCGCTAATTATCGGAAACCAATTACGAACGCAAGTTTTATTATTTTAGGAGGTGCGTAATAAAAAAATAGCAAAAATTGCAACAATAATACTAAAGCTCTATTTACAGAATTTCTCAAGTTTAATTAAGCTTGTATGCTGAAGTATTTTCGTCGAATGTGGTATCGTCGGGTTTTTGAGGCAGACTGTCGAATAATTGTATCTCGTAGACAGGCTTTCCGTCCTCGCTGATCCAAATACTTCCGTTTTGGGCGCATCTGATCACGTACACTACCCCATGCGCGACACTGTGAAATCTAACGAAATTTAATAGCTTAGTAATAATGACGTACGCTCCCTTTCATAGGTGTGTAAAAGGAATGTTGCATATGTAATCATTTGACACACAAAATTCATTAGAAAATTATTGGGATCCTAAAATAAAAATTACTCATTCTAGAATTAGCTTTTTAAATCATTGCAAAATTATTGAGATCTTAAAAAAATAAACGACTCATTCTAGAATATGCATATTTTTTAAGTCATTGCAAAATTATTGAGATCCTAAAGAAATTACTCATTCTTGAATATGTATGTTCTCTAAGTCATTGCAAAATTATCGAGATCCTCAGAAAAAAAAGAATTATTCATTCTAGAATCTGGAAGTATAACGATCGTTACATTTGTACATTTTGACTAATGTGCGACGCGAATTTTGGCGGGAAAATGTAATTTAAACGATACAATACTTTCTACCCGAGCATAGTACTTACAAACGGCAGAATACAAGTGCAAAAATCGTGAAATAAAGTAGAATACAGACTGGACTCTGAATAAATTCACAGTGAGACACTTTCTGAGTTGAAAAAAAATACCTTTTGAAATATTTCTGTACCAATTCTGGTACAACAACAGCAAATTCTGCATTCAACTGCGTGGCTGTGGTAGGAATGAGCTCAGGACACATTACTATTACCCTTACTCCAGTTCTTTGATAATGATAAGGTTGCTGAAAGAAGCGGAGATTAACGAATAATCGAAATTCATTTAATTTCAGTCGTTCTTTCATCGGTCTTGATTACAAGAAAAATAATTGTGCAGTTCTTTATTCTCACAAAGGCTCTGAAAGTTTAGAATAAGTAAAAGTACTTGTGCCCTTTGTCACAAGGGAAAACTTACCGCGAAGGAACGGCTGAAGCTAACCACAGCATGTTTCGTCGCAGAATATACTGGAAACTCGGATAAGGAGTGCAAACCGGCCATAGACGAAATATTCACGATAACACCCCCTTTCCCTCCGAGGTCCTTTTGCATTTGTTGCAATCCTAGAAGAGTTCCGCGTATCACGGAAGTCTGGGGAAATTGATCTTAGTTAACAGATTGCGGCGATGAGTCGTGGACGTTTAGGAGATATTTCGTTGAGTTTGTGGAACATTTTCCATAAGTTAGGTATAAATATATCTAATTTTAGCAAGCTTAGAATGATGTATATTCGCTCCATTTTGAGGTAAAATGATTTCTTCGCTAAATATAAATTAAAAGAAAAAATGCTAATTATCGGAAACCAATTACGAACGCAAGTTTTATTATTTTAGGAGGTGCGTAATAAAAAAATAGCAAAAATTGCAACAATAATACTAAAGCTCTATTTACAGAATTTCTCAAGTTTAATTAAGCTTGTATGCTGAAGTATTTTCGTCGAATGTGGTATCGTCGGGTTTTTGAGGCAGACTGTCGAATAATTGTATCTCGTAGACAGGCTTTCCGTCCTCGCTGATCCAAATACTTCCGTTTTGGGCGCATCTGATCACGTACACTACCCCATGCGCGACACTGTGAAATCTAACGAAATTTAATAGCTTAGTAATAATGACGTACGCTCCCTTTCATAGGTGTGTAAAAGGAATGTTGCATATGTAATCATTTGACACACAAAATTCATTAGAAAATTATTGGGATCCTAAAATAAAAATTACTCATTCTAGAATTAGCTTTTTAAATCATTGCAAAATTATTGAGATCTTAAAAAAATAAACGACTCATTCTAGAATATGCATATTTTTTAAGTCATTGCAAAATTATTGAGATCCTAAAGAAATTACTCATTCTTGAATATGTATGTTCTCTAAGTCATTGCAAAATTATCGAGATCCTCAGAAAAAAAAGAATTATTCATTCTAGAATCTGGAAGTATAACGATCGTTACATTTGTACATTTTGACTAATGTGCGACGCGAATTTTGGCGGGAAAATGTAATTTAAACGATACAATACTTTCTACCCGAGCATAGTACTTACAAACGGCAGAATACAAGTGCAAAAATCGTGAAATAAAGTAGAATACAGACTGGACTCTGAATAAATTCACAGTGAGACACTTTCTGAGTTGAAAAAAAATACCTTTTGAAATATTTCTGTACCAATTCTGGTACAACAACAGCAAATTCTGCATTCAACTGCGTGGCTGTGGTAGGAATGAGCTCAGGACACATTACTATTACCCTTACTCCAGTTCTTTGATAATGATAAGGTTGCTGAAAGAAGCGGAGATTAACGAATAATCGAAATTCATTTAATTTCAGTCGTTCTTTCATCGGTCTTCATTACAAGAAAAATAATTGTGCAGTTCTTTATTCTCACAAAGGCTCTGAAAGTTTAGAATAAGTAAAAGTACTTGTGCCCTTTGTCACAAGGGAAAACTTACCGCGAAGGAACGGCTGAAGCTAACCACAGCATGTTTCGTCGCAGAATATACTGGAAACTCGGATAAGGAGTGCAAACCGGCCATAGACGAAATATTCACGATAACACCCCCTTTCCCTCCGAGGTCCTTTTGCATTTGTTGCAATCCTAGAAGAGTTCCGCGTATCACGGAAGTCTGGGGAAATTGATCTTAGTTAACAGATTGCGGCGATGAGTCGTGGACGTTTAGGAGATATTTCGTTGAGTTTGTGGAACATTTTCCATAAGTTAGGTATAAATATATCTAATTTTAGCAAGCTTAGAATGATGTATATTCGCTCCATTTTGAGGTAAAATGATTTCTTCGCTAAATATAAATTAAAAGAAAAAATGAAAATAAATTCCTTAATAACTTTCTAAATATTCGATGTAAGAAAATATAATGACTGAATAAAAGTATTGAATATTATGTACAGAGAGTAGATACTTTGTTACCATTTTGGTTTGTAATTTTGGAATAATTACAAAAGAAATAACGAAAGGAATTATATTCTATCGTTCATTGTCGACTTTTGTTTAATAAAAAGCAATTAGATTCGAAATCCACTACCTTAGACCTTTGATCCCTATGCTCACGATAATATTGTAATTATTTTACATTCAGAGGAACGTTTTTGCTTACCACGTTTACGTCAATGGTATTCTTGAAATCATCTTCATTAATCACCCCGACATTGTTTACTAGAATCTCTAGGCCACCGAGTGTATCCACAGCTTTCTTAAAAGTTTCTGTCGAAGAAATCGAGCGTGATTCAGGGTTACCGTTTCCCTTCTTGTAAATGTTTAATGGAAATCGTATTTTGACGTGTTTTTTCAGAGAGAGTGTAGCAGAAATTCAATTATAACGAAAGAACGATAGAAAATCTACAATTAAATATGCTAATTGCAAGAATTGAAGTGTAATACTATATAGTAACATTTCCTTTCGAAAAATAAAAGCAGTTGATTTTTTTACCATTTTGCTTTCTAATTTAGGAATAATTAAAAGAAAATTAATATCTCATTAAACGAGATCGTCCTTTAATAATTGACTGCATATCTTTTCCACAACGTTTGTAAAACTGTTCTACTACCATTTCCATAGTGAACTGCGATAATTACGCGAATTGTCATAATTACCATCGAATTCAGAATTGTTCGCAACGTTACAAGGAAAAAATTCAACACGATTGCGCCCAAACTCCTTGTTCAGTAGTTCCATCGCTTCGTTGCCAGAAGCTCCCCGAAAATCGATTATCGCGATCATCTGAAATCATCTTTCGATCGTGAGCGTGACTTAAGAATTCCCCTAAGCAAAATTAAAAAGTATGTACCTTCACGAATAATAAGTTTCACTATTCCACAAGTACAAATTATATTTTACCATTAATTAAAAATTTTTTTTGTTACAGCAATATCCTTCGTTTCATGAATGACAAAAATGACGTCTACTTACGGAGGCGCCATTCCTCAGCAATTCTCTGCTAATACTCGTGCCCAAATCACTCGCACCTCCTGTCACGATGACTCTTTTATCCTTAATCTGCATATTTCAAACTCTACCAAACTTCTTTCTCTCGAAAACAATAAAAATCGACGAACACTTGATTCTTCCCTATTCTTCCTTCACTTCTAATACCTTCGATACAGTTTCCTTCGCCGAAGAAGACGTACTGGTACAAAATGAATCGTGCACTTCAAGTATTACCAACAATTGTCAACGTAAGAGATAAGAAAGAGGCGATCTCTGATTAGTTCAGCGTGCAATATGCCGAATTTGAAAGGTTTACGAGACAATTTTAGGCGATTTTCACCGAAGAAACGATCTTCATTTTGTGTCTCCTCTTGCGAAGTCGAGGAATTCGGCGAGCAAAGTTTGTAGAAATGTTGACCAGAGGCGAGATAATGGACGTCTTTGTGGTTACTGGTCGCGGTTCTGTTCTGGGAACACTTCTTCGGATTGATACGAAGGAAGCTTCTTGCTCTCTCGTGTCGCGATCTTCGACCTTTCGCGCGCCATTACGCTTTGCAGGGACTCGATCTTATGCTATCTGCATCGATCGTTCGTTGCAACACGATTCGTCCCTTGGTTTGTTCATTGCATAACTGATCTGAGAGAAGATTCGCCGCGTGAGCGATTGTTTCGCTATTTTCTTGGTGATTATGTTTAGAAGAAATTTTGCCTTCTTTTTCATTTTCATGGAGGAAGGTGAAGTTTCTGTAATTTGTGATTTAAGCATCTCAGATCGAAACGAAGGGACTTAGGAATTATGGAGTAAATAAAATTTGTTTAATTAATTTCCAATTATTGGTCTTTCCATATGAAAAATAGAATAGATTTGTAATTCGAGGAATTTTGTTGAGAATTATTTTCTATCGTATAGTCCAACTTTGAGTTCCCTGTAAAGTGAATTCTTCTTCGAGGTAAAGAGTAAAAATTCGATTCATTTCAGTTGATCTCATTTAAGTCGATGAAGTTGTAATTTTGTTTATAAAATTCAAAGTTTTATATGGAACTTAACAAAGTGAAATGTTTCACTCTCGCCTAATTCATTTTTCTTTTATACAGTTGGTTTCAGTTTTACTGTGTTTTTCAGCAGTAGGGTATGTTAAATGAATTTATCAGAATAGTCCAGAGAGCTTGATTGTAATAAAAAACAGTGTACAAAAGAAGAATAAATCTCGTAAATTTTGTCAGGTTTTACAAAAGATTGTTATTTTTTCTGTTCAGGGGAAATTCACAAGTTGAGCTCGACTTTCTTCCACAGAGGGAACTCAACAGCGAATGGTGGTTCGCCGCCCTCGCTGACCCAGACAGATCCGTTCATGCCCTTCTGGATGAGACTCACCATAGCCTGTGCAACGTTGTCCGTTCTGAGGAGGTGAGAAGTGAACGAAGGGTGAGTGATATTGATACATTTTAATTTCATTTATCGTTCGTTAACGTTCAATTTAAAATGTCAAACAAGGAATAAATTTTTTAATTTATGGTTCATTAACTTGAAAATTTCAGGAGAAACTTAATTTTTTTAATCTATGGTTCATTAACGTTAAAATTTCAGGAGAATGTTAAATTTTCTAATTTATCTTTCGTTAACGTTACAATTTGAAGAGAAGGTTCAATTTTTTAATTTTTCGTTCTTTAATGTTAAAATTTCAAGAGAAAGTTGATTTTTTAATTTGTGGTTCGCTAACGTTGAAATTTCCAGAGAAACTTAAATATTTTAATTTATCGTTCATTGATGTTAAAATTTCAAGAGAAAGTTAATTTTTTAATTTGTGGTTCGTTAACGTTAAAATTTCAAGAGGAAGTTAATTTTCCACTTACGATTGCGAAGGCAGTTTGCTCAGCATTGCTACCGTTTCCTCTTTGTCGATGAAATCCAGCACTTTCTCTTGGATGGAGTCAAGCAGACCTGTCGAAGTGACACCAGGGCACATCACAAGAATGCGAACTCCAGTTATGTCGAAGCTCTCCTGAAAAGGTAAGAGTGAACGTGTCAATTTCACTATTACAATAAAGCAACACTTTGTTTTTTTCATAGTACCCGGTAGTCACTATAAAAATAACTAGTCATCTAACGAATATAGTCACTATTACAATTTGAGAAATCCAGAAAATTTTAAAGCATCGTTTAGTCAATTTCAAGAAACCAACATTGAAGAAATAATATTCCAAATGTATGGTTCATTTGGTTTCACTTTTCTGGAAACCAACTTTATAACGAAATTATGGAACACTATGACAACGAATTAATCAATTAACCCTTTGGTGACCAAGTTATTTTTTTCGAGGAATTTGTTATTCTGCAAGCTGGACCAAATTGAGATCCATTTCTTTTTCGAGTGCATTCTGATCACGAAAGGGTTAATTTTCCGCGCGAATTGATAATTTGAAATTTACCTGCAGGCAATGGCTGAATGCCATAACGTTGTGTTTACTGGCACAGTACACCGGGCAACATTTGTAGGGTTGCAGACCAACAATTGACGAGATATTTACTATGGTACCACCTCGGCCACCTTTGTGCTTGCCCATGAGTTCCAGAGCGAGCAACGATCCTTGCACCACTCCGGTCTGAAATTCAATAATTAACGAATTATTATACATCTTAATAAATCGAGTAAATAACGGTTAGTAATTTCATTAGAAATTAACATCCAAGGAATTAACAAAATTATTTTCTATCTTCGGAACATTTGTAACATTTTCTTTTTTCGAATTTCTTTTTATTTTATTTTATTTTATTCTTATTTTTTTTAATACGCTTTTCAGATTTTTGAGATTTCAGAAACGCGCTATTTTGAAATTTTTGCTTTTCAAAGACATTTAGATGTACTTGATACCGAATTTTCGTGTGGGTTTTTCATGCATGTTAACAACAGTGTCAATGACTTCGAACACAGTGATTTGTCGTTCGACTGGTCAGATATGATAGTAATCTGTTTTACATTCGTTTTTTCTGACAAATTACGAAACGAGATATGAAAAATTGTATTGTTGAGCATTGCTGATATCGTCGAGTAGACTGACACGAAATACTGATCTTTATTAAAGGAGAAGTATAGTAAAGTATTATACTTACGACATTTAGGCGGATCGTTTTCTCCCATTGTCTGTCGTCGAACATACCAGCATTGTTGATAACAATGTCCAGACCGTTCAAGGCGTTCCAGACCTTCTTGAACGTCTCTGCAATATCGAGTGAAATTTATAAATTATTCTCTTATTCTTGTATTTTCATAATTCACTTCTAATTTTCTAACATTATTTTTTGTGAATATTTTTGTGCACATTGTTCGTTAGAATTGTCTCAGATTTTCGAGATTTCAACAACGTACGATTTCGAAGTTTTTGCATTTTAATAGTTTTTATTTATAAGCTCTTTCTTTGTATATTCATTTTTATGGGAGTTTAAATATTTTTCCAAATCCTCAGTATTTGATTCCACGAATGAAGGTATTTAAATATGAAAATTGACGAAATACCTGAGAATTCCTTGGTGTTAGTCACGTCGCAAGGGAAGAACACGGCTTTTCCCTTTCCAAACTCCTTTTCCAAATTGGTTGCCGACGTTTGTCCAGGGGAAGTGCTCAGATCGAGGAGAGCGACAGCCTAAGTGTCACATTATTAATTTCAATATTAAATTTTCATATTGACATTAATAGTAAAATTTTTCTTAATTATTTTCTCTCACTTTCCATATTACGGCAAAAGAAGCAAGTCACAGCTTTATAAGCAATGCTAAACTTATTTCTACACGTCTAGGAAATAATTAAAAGAAAGAAATAAAATTGATCTCATTTGACTCATCAAGCTGAGAAAAATGTCAAAGTTAAAGGGTTAAATTAACAAATTGGTGCATCATTGTCATTCACCTTTGCTCCATTTTGCAATAATTTCGTGGCATAATCTAACCCAAGTCCACTGGCTCCACCGGTGACCAAAGCAGTCTTGTTCTTAATGTTGTCCATGGTTTAGAATTCTGTAAATAAATTCGAACAATTATGAAATCAAAATCACGAAGAAAACACCGATACTTTTATACCGCTATTTTTCTCTGTCTCTGTCTCTCCAAATTTCTAAACGAATCATCACCATTTCTCTGGCTAACAAAATTACTTTTCGCTTCACGAGCTGATCGTTAGTTTGGTCTCGTGTCGAATACTCGTCTTTCTTCTTCTATCGCGCTTACAATTAGTTCAGTGTCCGTGCAAAAAGTGACCGGTAATTATCACGGCAGGTTTATATGTCTCTCGAGATAAATAGAACGTTGTGTAAGAATTTACTGTGACACGGAAATAGTATTTCTGTCAATTTGAGAAAGAAAAATAATTTAGGCGAGGGAAATTAAATGAAAATGGAACGATATGAAATTTTCGTTAAAAATGTATCGATGCAGGGATCGTTAGTAGCGAAAATTTTAAACAATCCTTCCGAATTATTTTTGCGGCCGTAACGTGTAAATTTCCTATTGCAAAAATTATTAACGTTCAATTGTGAATATTCAACAATTATTCAAATGAACGTGAAACATATTCAAATAAATATGAAATAAATGTGAAAGATATTCGGATAAACGTGAAATAAATACGAAACAAATTCAGACATTAGGTGATCCCCTAAATTCGCGTCGAAAGCTGAAAATATTTTAATAAAGATCCAATCCACAGTCTCACAAAAAGCAAATTTTGCAATGAAAAATCGCTTACATTTTTCTTCTCAAATTTGAACGTTCGTTGGAAATATCGATCTAAATTATAAAATTCCCGACGACTTAATAAATACGAAAAAGTGAACCGGGTACAGGAGAGAAAAGGTAGCAGAATGTTCTTTCTGTACAAAACTCACGGTGTATCTTGCCAATTGTCTCCAGACGAACGATGCGAATAGTGTCGTTCTTGGCCAAAGAATGAGTTGTTACTTGGTCTGTTGAGAAAATTAAACAGAACCGCGTATCTACTTAAGATTAACGTTCGCTTATGTATCGCGTGTACAGATATACCGTACACCTCTTACACACACGCGCGATAATCTATGTTCATAAAAATAAATACAACAAGAAGCCTTAGAATAAATAAGATATTTTTTTAATCTGCATATATTACATAATATTTTTATTACTCCTCCTCTGTTTCTCACTCTCTCTCTCTCTCTCTCTAGAACAAATTAATAGCTGCCTGTTAATATATTGCACGTTACATTGTTAGCTGTTGATTATAGTAAACGTTAAATCGTTGTTAAATATTGCAATTGTATAAGTCGTATGAATAAATAAGTGTGTTTGAAGTATTTAAAGCTTGTCGTGTGTTAATTATGAGCAACATTATTTTGATTGTAATTTCAAATTGGGGACAAAAATTGTTAGAGATTCGTTAGAACGAATGGGTAATTTTGTTTAAAATTTTTCACGAATATCGACTTTAGTAAGGAATTATCTTATCCGATGTAGAGCCAATTAAATTAGTAGCTAATTGATAAAAAAAAGAATAAATATTGCTATAACCAGTAATCTCTCCTCTTTCTACTGGTAAACCGTGACATTTAGATCGGGATCTTCAGGTTGGTGTAACTAGGAATTTCAACTGCGTACGGGGGTTGATTATTTTCGCTGACGAAAATCGTGCCGTTCTTCCCCTCGTCGATTAATTGGATAATTGCGCTGGCCACGTGTTCCGGTCTGTTAACAAACGTTATTTCAGTTAAAAATAGAAATGTATAGCTAATCAAACGTTTTAAACATTTTAGGAACGTTATAGCTTTTCGCAAAGTACTGGACTTTCAAGTGTATTACTTCAGGTGTGGCTATAGCCACCTTTGGGATATAGCGAGTACCGATGTTGCGTGGCTATAGTCGCCTTTAAGATATAGCCAGTGCCGATGTTGCATAGCTATAGTCACTTTTAAACATTTTCAAGACATTATATTGTTAAGAAAAATACTGAATTTCCAAGTGTATTATTTCACGCGTGGCTATAGTCGCTTTTAAGATATAGCGAGTGCCGATGTTGCGTGGCTATAGTCGCCTTTAAGATATAGCCAGTGTCGATGTTGCAGGGCTATAGTCACTTTTAAACATTTTCAAGACATTATATTGTTAAGAAAAATACTGAATTTCCAAGTGTATTATTTCACGCGTGGCTATAGTCGCTTTTAAGATATAGCGAGTGCCGATGTTGCGTGGCTATAGTCGCCTTTAAGATATAGTCAGTGTCGATGTTGCAGGGCTATAGTCACTTTTAAACATTTTCAAGACATTATATTGTTAAGAAAAATACTGAATTTCCAAGTGTATTATTTCACGCGTGGCTGCAGTCGCTTTCAAGATATAGCGAGTGCCGATGTTGCGTGGCTATAGTCGCCTTTAAGATATAGCCAGTGTCGATGTTGCAGGGCTATAGTCACTTTTAAACATTTTCAAGACATTATATTGTTAAGAAAAATACTGAATTTCCAAGTGTATTATTTCACGCGTGGCTATAGTCGCTTTCAAGATATAGCGAGTGCCGATGTTGCGTGGCTATAGTTGCCTTTAAGATATAGCCAGTGTCGATGTTGCAGGGCTATAGTTACTTTTAAACATTTTCAAGACATTATATTGTTAAGAAAAATACTGAATTTCCAAGTGTATTATTTCACGCGTGGCTATAGTCGCTTTCAAGATATAGCGAGTGTCGATGTTGCGTGGCTACAGTCACTCTTAGCAACGAAAGGTTTAAAGGGATAAACTATTAGTCGACCTTATATTAGTAATCCTAAAATCACGTTTGAAGGGTAACCGTTTAATACATAATTACTATAGGTATTTGTTTTAACAATTCTTTGGTGTAGACACCGTTTGTTTGAAAGGAAATCTGAATCTTTCAGTGGTTCTTACAAAATTGAATATACGATAAAAAGTACAGGAAATTTGACTAAATACTTATTATACTTACGGTTGTTTCTGCATGGTCGTCATCGCCAAGGCTGCAGTTTCTTCATCGAGAAGATCCATGGCGTGCTCTTTGGTGGACATGAATCTGGTAGCCATAGCTGTGGTCGTTAATCCAGGACATATCGTCATCATACGAATCCCAGTTTTCTCAAAATAATGCTGCAATATTTACCAAGCAATCCCTTTTTAATCAAATATAACGTAACATTCGGGAAATTAGTTTGAACGTATCCTACGTTCTAAATTACTTTTTCCTCTCTAATAAAAACAAATATAGAAATTACAGTATCGTAGAAATTTCTGTTTACATACAATTGCTATCTATTTGTATGCAAATTTACATTCAACCAGCATGTATTTGCATGTCAATTTTCAGATTAAGTTATTATCAACTTACAAATGAATAGTTTCATTATTCCTATTTCCTTGACAACTTCGTATACAAATTTTTCTCGAAATTTTTACCTTTAACGATTGAGTAAATCCAACAATGGCGTACTGCGTTCCCCCATAGATAGGTGCTATGGGGATTCCTTCGAGGCCAGCCACCGAAGACATGTTCACTATAACACCGCCGTTGCCACCTTTATACTTTCCCATGGTGTGCAACCCCAAAATGGTACCGTGAACGATACCTTTCTACCAAAAAAAGAACAGGTGATTTTCATATGGAATTTCGGGTTAATCAAGTACAAATTATAACGAAACTTAAAAACAAACTCGTTAAGAAGAAAGATAAGAAAGATGATTTTTTTTAGTTCTGTTTCTTGTTTACATGTAGAAAATATTTGATACAGATAAAGTACATGATATTTTCTGTTTAGGACAGAGAGAGATTCGTTCACTTACGTAATTAACGTCAACCATAATTTCCCAGTCCGCGTCGTCCATAATGCCGGCGATATTTATGACAATATCCAAAGTCTCGTATGTATCGATAACTTTTTTGAACGACTCTGTGCAAAATTTCAGTTCGCTAGTTAGCACTATTTTAGATCGTCTCGTTCGAGTATGATAAAGAAAGGGTAAAAATAGCAGTGATCAATTTTTTTTCAAGTAGCAGATGTTTGTTATTTTCGTGAATAGAAACCAGGGATTATCTCGTTGAAGAGTATATCAGGACGATGACTAAAGAATTTCAACGAGCCGTTGAAATATTTATCAAAACGTTCCAATTTTTTTATTTCATTGAAAATGACTGGTCTGTAATTGTACACTACGGTTCAGTCTTTGAAATCTACTGTAGTCTGTATTATACGAAAATTTCAAAACAGCTAAAATCTATCAAAATTCTAAAATGATCTAATTTTTTTCGAGTGATATTAATAATTAAGGTCTGAAATCTTCATTGGTTAATCAACACCGATCAGCTGTTTAATGACGTGTAATTTTAAATATCCACAAAAACGTACGATTTAATTATAAAGAAGATCTAAAAGACGTAACAGATTTAAAGGATCACTAAAAAGTAATCTTCGTTGCCTCGTAACTGTCAACTTCTACCCAGAATGATATACAGTCATATGTATTAAGATATTTTATCAAAAAAAAAAAAAAAAAAATTACAGAATCACATCAATACACAAATGATCACACATTATGCTGTAAAAATTGCATATATTTAGCAATAGTCATTATTTTCAATTGCTAAATAACAAACAAAGGTTTAGTCATATTTAAATTTAGATTTAATCCTTTATATTTCATAACTTTTTCAATCCACCCTCGTATAACATCACAAATAAACACGCATCAAAGTCCCACAATAAATTCGATCCTCCATAATAAATTCACAATAGAACCTTCGAATCTACCCGTTGAAAAATATTTCAAAATTACCTTTAAGTTCTTCGCTCTTGGACACATCGCAGACAAGAAAAATGGCGCGATCCTTTCCAAACTCGTTATTCAAATCCGCGACCGCACTCTCGCCACCGGAATCAGCTAAGTCCAGCACAGCCACTGCCTGTAACACAGAAATGTTCATACAGTCGCGATAAATAATTCTCCAAGATCTCCGCTTAAATCGCGATAAGTAATTTTTCAAAATTTCCTTCGCTTCGCGTTTCTCAAACAACGTTTCTCTAAAAATTATCTTCGCTTCACGTTGAACAATATTTCTCTAAGAATTTTCTCCGCTTCACCATAAACAATAAATCATTCTCCAAGATCTTAGCTTAAATCGCGATAAATAATCATTTTTTCCACATTTCCTTCGCTTCACGATATTTCTCTAAGAATTACCTCTGCTTCACGCTAAACAATTGATAATTTTTTCTAAAAATTATCTTCCCTTCACGATAAACGTTTACTTCTAAGAATTACCTTCGCTTCATTTTCAAGAAGCTTCTTAGCGGTGCAGAAACCGATTCCATTCGCTCCACCGGTGACAATCGCGATCTTACCCTCGATGCTCATGATCGTTCGCCGGGAAAGAAGCGAACTA